TTACTTACATTCATATACAGTGAAGACATAAAAATGCAACCTAGAAAAACAAGTTAGAATGTTTATTCATGCTCTCATATACAATTTCCCATGTTTCTTCTTTAACTTCGGGTCAACAGTTGACATACACTGTTTGCTTTGGAGTCCTGCCATAAATCATGTTTTTGATGCTTCCACTAACATAACATTGCCTTCTGTTCAGCCTCTTTGTGGATTAGACACAGACAAACTGAGAGGGGGGAAGAGTAGAGGAGGATGGGAAGCAGCTGTTTGAGGTGAAGGAGCACACTTGTTGAACTTGTTGACCAGGGAGAGAGTTGTTTTCATTGGTCAGTCAATCCACAGAAGAGCAGTAAAATATAGTCAGTGCCTCAGGCTGTGGGGAGAAAAAAAATAGCAAACCAAATCCAACCATTTGCTCCTGTCTGTTCTGGTTTTATTTAGTGATTGTTGCTGAATATCATACCTGCAGTGTGGGCGGGTTATACTTGGCACTGTGGTGTGCGTGTGCTGGGCCTGCTGTTACTGCTGTGCTCAGCATTGTGTCTATGGGTTTGTTACTGATGGTTTCCATTAAAGACAAGCTGGCAGCCAATGCAGAGTTTGTTATTCTCTGGCAGGCTTTGTTCTGTATTGACCTCACGAATACCAAATGTTATATGTTTCATCATACTTCCGCCTTATTCTACATAAAATGATGGAAGCCCAAATTATTTCTAACTTCATGGGCTTCTTTTAAACATTGTGGCAAACAGTGATAGAAAGGTTAAACCTTAAGAAGTGAGGAATGTTTTTCAAAGGGCGTCTGAATAAACAGCTCTAAGTCGCAGATAACTCATGTCTTACTCAAAAGCCTTGTTCACACTTGCACAAAACTCCTGAAAACGCCCTGAAGTCTCCTGGTTGAGCTGCACGTGTGAACGCAGACAGCCATATTTTTTACTCTGACTTTATTCAGAATTTCTCCTACCAGCCCCCTAGTATTTTTTTTCCGCATGAATTATGAGTGAGCTGATACGAGAACACAGCAAGATTTAGTAAGTAGAATACACCTTGAGCGGAAAGGGTCATGACGTCAGTTATGACTATAGACTGTATGCAGGCAACCATTGTGATCTTAATGCATGTAATTAACCTGCTGCATTATGTTTTCTGCTTGCCATTATTTTCCTCTCTGTTTTTTTAATGATATTCTGATTCTGTTAAACTGCATAGAGCATTGATACAAAGGCAAACAGTAGAATTATAGTGGATTTTGTTGCTTTGTCTGCTACTTCCATGTTGTTCTTCTTATATCATGTCTTGCCTCAGGAGACCCTCGCCCCTCCATCTGTCCAACAGGGACAGTCACCTGCTGTGAGTTGCATGTGCAACCAGATCTGGGGGATTTCAGGGACAGCCCTTCTGAAATGAGCAATACATTTTAAGGAGCGCACATGTGAAAAGGGCTTAAGTCATTAATTTCAGACCTTTGAACACAGTGTTATCAGTCAACAGACTTGATATGCAGCTTTGTCATTAAAAATGGTTCAGAGGTGTTTTTACTTCAGCACACTATACTATAAGTTAATAGAAGAAACAAATGTGGGTCTATGTTTCTTAATGTTCTTGAGATAGCAATCATAAACTTGAATGAAAGGTCCATATTCATGAATTGTACCACACATTGTTTTGCCTCATGTATACTAGTTCCGGTTATAAGGAAGCCACATGTGTTGTATGACCATACAACTTAACTTACCTGAAAATGAGAAATTGCCTGTTCAGTTGCAGCTTTCACGGATAATTTCAGATTTTCTTTGTGTTAAACGTGACCACCATTATTATCTGCTCTGTGCAGTCATTTGTCTGAGTTTATGCTTGTTTCGGTACATCCATCCATTCATTCATTGTCTGTTCCCACTTACTCCTGTTACATGGGCCGAGAGGCTGTGCATGCACTTGGCAAAAGCAGGATAGTAGTCCATCACCCTGCTCATCTTTTTGTCCTACCTGTCCGTTTCCTGAGAAGCTCCTGCACGTGGCTGTAAACAGTCACGAGGCTTTGCCCCTTAGTGTTCAATGGCCCATCTGTTTGTACGCCACATCCTCAGGATGGAAAATGGATTTGGTTTCACATGAGGGCGGCGAGGCTTGGGTTGCGTTGATTAGAACAGAGCTGTGCAGCCATGGCAACAACCCCTGCTCCACCCCAAAAACGATTGTTTTTATTGTTGTTTTTTTATTCAAATTTCTTTACTTCACTCTATGATTATGCTTACAATGCTTATCTTTCCCTGCACTTGGCGTGAAAAGGTTAAGAGCTAACCCAGAAGCACAAAATAATTAGTAGAATCCGACAAAGTAATCATCATGGTCATTACTGACTCCTATCACTCTATTTTCCTAATGTTTGTCTTTTTAAACTTCCTAGAAATAGATCTGTTTGAAGTTCTGTGTAATGTATCTCTTCCAAATTAAGATACATTTTAAAATAGCTCAGGCGAATCTCAAAGTTGTTTCATATGACACGAAACATTGAGGAAAGAACTGTATTCCAGACAAAACTGAACCGATTTTCTCATAGTATCTTTTATTTGATTGAGATCCCATTAGTGGGCTTATTTACTGTTAGAAAGAGAATTGTTTTTCATTCTAGCAGATTATCAATGTTTGTGTACTAGCTGTTATCCAGTGAAATAGGTCTGTAGGCTGCCAAACTCTGTAGTGGAATAGGAGTTTTGAGGCTGCTGAGGGATTAATGCAGGACTGTTGCAGGAGGTAGCGTCGTGAGTGTTGGGTTTCAGGGTAGTATCCAACTACAAGACCAACTTGGTGATGACGCCATAGTGTTTCTCGCGTGTTACCAATCAGCAATACAGTATGTTCCTATAGTAGTCCTGGTGGGTGCGTGTGCGTGCGTGTGCGTGTGCACGCGCGCGGATATGTAGCTCTCCTCACTCCTACAGGGAAAACCTGTTCCTTATAAATAGGACATGCCTGAGAGGCTGAGATGGTTGGAATAACGGCCTGCTTGCTTTTCTGCTGCTATGTTGCCTGCTGCACCAGCTGTTGTGGGCATTTGTTTAGACTATGTGATAAAATTGTCTAAAACTTATTTCAGCAGTTCTAAAGTTTGCTGTTGCCAGCCATATGTTTCACACCATTCAGTCCTATATGGCTCCAAAGACGTCATAGTGAAGTCTGCAGGATCCCTTTTGATATGTTCTATATGAAAGTGCAAGACTGCCCCAGTTGGTATGTCCAGCTGTCTGAAGGACAGCTGTCTGAGCTAATTGTCTTGAAATCATACTTCCAATCCTCTGAATTCGTCCAAGTATTAAATAGTTTGGAGAGTGTGTACCTTGTCTATAAGCTGATCAGAAGTGAAACAATATCTCTTTGTCACTCGGCAACAAGTTTCTCATGTTTCTCTTGTGTATAATTTAAGGGCTGAGTCATTCTAAGCAATGCTGTCATCTATGTAACAACCAGACTAATTTGCTAAATACTTATCACACTATGATATTTCATTAATGCTGATACAATTATAATTACATTGAATTATAATTAAGTTGAATTATTCCCCAGCAATTTTGTTGGTAAAATAAGGACTGTGTGGAAAATTTCACAAGGTCTCCATTGACATCGTTGTATTTATAGACATTTCACATCATCATAGGATAATACTTTATTGATCCCCAAATTCGGTCATCATCGTCATCATCATCATCCCTTGATGGTTACTAAAAGGACATTTTCCTTTCTGTTTCTTTAAATTGCCTTTCGGAGTACTTAGTCTAAAAGGTATCCTGTTAGTCTTAGGCTGTGTGTTTGATAGAATATGGCTATACAGTACAACAAATGTCACAAAACAGATTTCAGGGTTAAATATACTTCAATGTGATAATATTAACAATGAGATATATTTGCCTTAGTTTAAACATTGTCAGGATAAGCATTCTTATTTATCACAATCATCTCTAAATATCACTCATGGCACTACTATTCAACTGTGTATTAATTTTCTTATGATTGAAAGCTGGTACAATAGATTGTTCACCAAAACATTGAAATATTGAAGTGTACTCACATTTTCTGACACTTCTAGTATGTTTGTGTGCCACACAGTCATTTTGCTGTATTTGCACTTAAAAGGAGGTCGCTCCTGCACAGCAGACTCGCATCAGAGAAACGAGCTCAGACTACATCATGCTGTCAGAGCAGTGTCACAGTTTATAGGCTTTGTGGTGTCCTAAACACTGAGTTCTTGACAGTTGTCAGCACGTCTTACCTGTATTGGTGCTGACAGGCCTGCGTCATCACTAGCCATCGCTGCAACATGGTATTACAGTGCTATTATGGAGTTGGTTAAGGCAACACTGGGCCAGCACGTAGGCGAATACGTAGTGACTGTGCTCCTTATTTCCCATCAGCCTAGAGCAGATACAACAGTCTGTCAGAGGTCTGATCCCGGCCTGGCTGACCTGCTAACCCACTGACTCAGCCTGCTGACGCTTGGCGACAACACTGGCTTACAAGTCACTTGGCACCAAAACATACAACACGTTCTCATCTGAATGGCCAGGAAGAGGAATTCCATCAAATTATTGTAGTAATCATTTCTATTCAGAAGCATGAGAACAAAACTGGCATCAGGGTGAATAAAAAAATATATATATATTTTTTAAGGTGTTAATGAACAAATTGACTATGTTTACAATCAAATGCTTTAAAGTTAATCATTTGAGTATACAACACAAACAGTGCTAACCTTCTCTGACGCAGAAAAGTTGGGATGTCAGAGGTGTTTACATTCTTATAATCTTTAACAGAGAGATGCTGTGTGAATTTCATAGCTTGTTTCAGAGCGGTTTTAATTTATTCAAAAATAACACAAACAGTTTTATTACACTATCTTATATTTAAGACGACGTTGGTCATTTGATTACTGTGTAAACAATTCAATGACCATTGTTTGAACTTAGCTGAACTATGGTTGTGTTTTGTCTGTTCCACAGGGCTCCAGAGATCATTTTGGGATTGCCGTTTTGTGAAGCCATAGACATGTGGTCCCTGGGCTGTGTGATAGCTGAACTTTTTCTGGGCTGGCCCCTTTATCCGGGGGCCCTGGAGTACGACCAGGTAAACAACAATCCACCCACAAATCTCTTTTATGCCGCCATTGCTTCTTGGCGCATTTTCTTTTCCTTTTTTTTAGTTTTCCAGTTTTCAGCCATTCCTCCATTTTGTACCTCCTACTATCCCCTCCTTTTGGCTCTATGTGCTACTTATTTCAACATCTTCTACTTCTACTTTCAACTTCCATGACTAAGTCCCTCCTTGCTGTACCATAGCCACATGGAAACTGCTTTCATCTGGGGCTCCATTTTTCACTGGCCTTTCCTACTTTTATAAGTTTTAGTCTCACTACAGCCGTTTCTCCCGTATGTCAGCCACACACCGCACAACACACTTATCTTTGCACACAGCCTATGTGGCTGTCTGGGTAGAGTTACACCCTCTGTCTCCACCAAACCAGTTATTTTCCTTCTGACTCTCTCTGTCCCTCCTTTCTTCTTACTTTTCTCCTGCTTTTTCCTTCGTCCCCTTCACTTTCCAATCAAGGCAGCCCACAGAGGAGTGGGTTCTGTGTGTTTTGTTTTTGGGTTTGCATTCAGTCGAGCTTTCTATTACAGGCTTGCCTTCAGGGTACTGAGTCAGACGAGGCTCCCACTGTTGAAGTTTGCAGAATATGTGATTCATTGCCACTTCAGTCCGAAAAAAATCTCCCAAAAAGAGGGATTGCAAAGATACATTTCAGAAGAGAAGCTTACAAAGCCTTAAAGGGCAGACAGGGACACTCAGCAGCAGAGTTCAGGACAGATGGCTTGAAGCTAGGACAACAACATTGTCACAGTGTGTACCATTGTAAAAAAAAAAAAAGGTTATTTCTTTTCTAGTGGGATCCAGGTCTAATGCCATCTTTAGGGTACTCAAGGAATTGTCTGTATGATGGTGGAGGGGAATGAAACTTTTGAAGTTTAAGGACAAATAACACACGGAAAGAAAGACGGTTATTGTTGTTTGACTGAGGAAAGAGACATGCTGCTCAAGGGATTCACAATAACAAATTAGCGCTGTATTTACGGCTTCCTTGGTGACGTACCCACCCTGAGGATAATATAAGCTGCGTGTGTGACAGCAGAATGGCATCTTTATGTGATTGATGCTTTGTCTATTTGGAGCTGTCGGATGCCTGCCCCTCCCAGCGGAGCCCTCACAGTGTCTTCCCAGGACCAAACTGATCTGGGCTTATGTTGAGCTTCTTTCCCCGGCCCCAGAGCCCTCTCTACTAAAAGCCTGCCAACAGTCAGCTCCTGCTCTGTACTGGGCAGAACCCTACTTTACAGCTCCAGCCCCTCTGCACATCGCACTCGTACCGGGGTATTTTTATATCCTGGCTCCATTTTTCACTCTCCCCCAAAACTAAGACAGGAGAGCTAACTCAAGACCTCCGAAAGAGATTTGACTTGAGCGCTGCACCACCAGTCTGAATATGATGAATCTGTTTTTGCAGGAACCAGTCAGAATGTCTGCAGAGCTGATTTAGAGATATGTGGGGGCAGACTGACTCCTCAATTTAGTAAGGGCCTGCTTGGAGCTGATGGGATGATGAGGGTGGGTAGCAAAAGGTGGCATAGATAAGGGAGTGTGAGATACAGTGACATAAAATGCTGGATAAGAGGGGAGAAGAAACCTGTGGAATGTAACAGATAGAACTTGAAACCCTACTATATGTAAATGAGGGTTAAACACTGGCAAGAGTTAATTGCTTTAGATTGCTACTTGTTGAATCTCACGCCCCTCATCTTACAGTCTATTATTATCTGCTGATTAAAATTACAGCAGTGAATTTTAAGCTAAGGATGTTCTATGGGATGGCTGAATACCATCCTGGACAGTTTTAGCAGAATGGATATGTTGTTAGGGGAAAGTGCAAGCCTGTCCCTGCCCATGTGCATATGTTTTTTTTTCTGCTTTGACATCCACCCTACATAAAAATCCATGTTTCCCTGTGCCAAGTCTGCCCACTGGCATGCAGGGTTCTCAGTTTGGTTATGGAAATGCCCAGCACATAATGAAAAACAGACTGTAGGAGCAGGAGTGTTTATTTAAAGGAAAATATTTTGCTCTCTGGCAGTTTAGTAGTAAATAACAAATTAAAGAACTATACATACCCAGATAGTTAAAGTTCTCTCAAATGATCATTCTTATTTGAACACATTTCAAAAATGCTTTCTAGTTTTAAACCATTTAAGAGAACAATTAGCATCACTGACTGGTTTCCAAACAAGACACGAAAGAAGTTTGTAAGGTTGAGTACATGGATAAACTTAAATGGGCATTCCCTGGGCTATCATTCTGATATATTAATATTCCAGAGCTTGAAAATAGAAAGCTTGTAAATTTGTATCACCTAAAATAAATAGCCAACTGACTGTATGTCAGTAAACAGCCAGGCAGCTGACTGCTGGTGTGAGGTGTCATCCAGAGGCCACAGGGTGGTCTGCCTGCCACCCCCTTCTTCCTCCTTTTTTTTTCTTCTTATCTTTCTGCAGGGGGTCTTTTTCCATGCCACCAAGCATGTTGTATTTATAACTATAGCTCCTCCTCTTCTGTAGGCCCCTGTTGCTCTCCTCTTGCCTTACCTCATTCCCTAGGCTCACCACCTTTTTTGCCTCACCAGTACCAGCAGGAGGCTGCTCACGTTGTTGACTTGGCCGACCTAACAATTCAGCCGTGTATCATTATGAGTGGCTATAATAAGCCCCAGAGTTGTAATCTTGGGTATGACTCCCTTCTCTGTACTTGTTTTATCTTTCTTTATTCCCTCTTGCACTCTCTGACTCTTGTTTTCTTGGGAACCATTGAAGTGGTGAAACCATGAGGGTCAGTGCACACAATTGCAGAGAGCAAAGTTATGTGATCGCTGCTTCTTTCTTATCTTCTGAGCTCGGCCTAGCTGGCAACATGGAGGATCTGAAAGAATAAGAGGATGTAGTCAGGATCAGTGGGAGCAATAAAGATTCGGGTTATAAACGCGAGGTCAAAGAAGGAAATTTCCTGAGTGTTAATGGGAACAAACTGTACCCCAATGTCTCCAAATGTAAATAATTATTTACACACAAGGTAGCTGGGAGGGTGTGGCTATCTCATTCTAAGCTTGGATCTACTTTTATGTACTGCATTGAGGCATATCATTCAAATGCATTTTTTATAGCTTGTATTGTTATCTGGATGGCTATAAAATGAACAGTGCCTGTCTGTGCTTCCTGTCTGCTCTGCAGCAGGCCCAGGCTCGCTTGATAGTTGTTTTGTGAGCGCACTAGTTGTGCACCAGTGATCTCACTGGTTTGTCAGATCTCTGCAGAGACACGCCTTCCAGGAAAAATAAGGGTTTTCCCGTCAAAAGAATTTTCCCACCCACACACAGTGACTGTGATGTTTTGTTTTGTGTGTTTCTGTTGCTGTTGACATGTTGCTTAACTACAACACAGCTAGCCAGCTACAGCATATTATGGGGATGAAAGGAGGGAATTTTAGTCTGTGTACCTCCAGAGTTTGTTGGAATCTTCAGTTTCAGTAATCTGGGACTGATGGGAAGGACAAACACAAAATTAAAGAGAGGAAGAGAATCTTTAGTTGACATTTATCTGCTTGTTTTTGAAAAATAAATAAAGGAAGGATTTGATTACTGAAGAGAGAAATGGACAGGAACAAATTGGTTTTTCGATGCTTGGCTGTTAGTTTGCTTTGAGATAAGCAAGATATCTCCACCATGCCAAGTTCATCAGCAGATGAGGTTTGAGTCATCACGCATACTGTCAGAATCCCAATTAATACATAGCTTTATCATAGCTTAATTTAATGCCAACTTACAGAGTGGTAGGTCCGAACCACCCACACAGACACATTTGCAGTGTTCGCAGTACAGTACAGTACAGGACAGACAGGATCAATTTGGGCCATGTAGAGCAACATGAAGATCAACACATGAGAAGCTTCCAATAAAAACATTAAGTTACAACTTGCAATCTGACTCATTCACGTTTAGCAGCCTGTTGTCTTTGTATGTGCAGGAATTGCAGGTTGTGTTTGTGCCAGCTGTCGTAAAAGGAAAAAAATAATTTCTGAAAAGAGAGCTGACGTGTTGGATGTAGTCAAAAGCCAACATTTCTCACATCAACATTCCCTTTGACATCTTTTGATACCTGCGGTTTTAAATGGCCACTACAGCTATGCTTACCTTCTGGCACAGGCTGGATTGATATTACACAATTAGATGATATCAGCTGGGTCTGGTTTTGGATTCTTCTCATCGACAATATTATGTGTCCTTTGTCTTTCATTTGTTTCCCTCTTAAGAATTTGGCATTTAAAGCTTCTCCCTTTTCCTCAAATGGGAACTCTTTATTTCTCTATCTGGGAATTTAAGAGGCCATTCTTTGCAGCTTGAAGGGCAAACTTCAAACATTAAGTAAAAAGTTGAGGACTTACATTTTAGTCTACTTGACATTTCAAGCTATGTGTTTAAAAGCCAATCTAAAAACTAGTCATCAGTATCTGTATGCCAATCTATAATCTGCTACATTTAAAAGTTTGTAATTACTGCTTCATGATCCTCACCGTCCTCCTGCTGTGTGCCTCCTTGCTCCTGCTTCTTAGCAGCGCTGAATTTTCTAATGGTTGTTGGCCTTTACACACGGGTGTGATTGACGTCAGCCAGGCTTCTCACTAGTCTCCTCTCATAAACCTGTATGTGACACACTTGCCCCACTGCCATCTGACTGACAAGCACCATTACCCAGCAAAGCATTTGGCATTGAGAGCACAGGGACCTTGTTATCAGAGTTTACATGAAAAGACCCTGACTGCTTTCAGAGATCATAAACATGAGCTGCACTCAGTACAGGGTCTTATTTGGGTCCAGTCATTTCTCAGGAATGTGCCATCTTCAGAGTCTCTGCAGTGGTCTCCACTATGTACAGATCACTAGCTATAACTGTGAAGGACTTTATAGTGTGTTTCAGTTATTCTGAAAGACCTTGTAGTTGATCACTTTCTGAGAAGAGTGTCAGTGTTAGGTGCTCTTGTGATATGTTGGTTTAGTAGAGTGTGAATGATCAAGAAATAAGTAACACTTCAAAGACGCCCTCACTTACATATGTCAGCTAAAAGCAATGAAGTGCCTTTTACTTCACCTACAAGATTTTTTCATTAAATCGTTTCCTCCTTCCTCTCTTATCTCCAACAGATTCGATACATTTCTCAGACACAGGGTTTGCCAGGAGAACATTTGTTGAATACGGGGACAAAGACTGCACGTTTTTTTTGCAAAGAGTCTGACTCACCTTATGCAGCATGGAGACTCAAGGTAAGTTTTAAACACCTGAAAAAAGATGGCGGATTATGTATTTTCATTAGTTAAAAATGACTCACCTGAACTCCTGTTTTGCGTCACTGAAAGTTAACATTGAAAGTCATTGGCCAGCTGTAACTCAATAAGCAAATATTTTCTTCCTGCCTCTGGGCAAACAAAGACTGCACTTCCTAAAGAAAATAGAATTGATAGATTTCCGGGAATAAAACAAAACATTGACAGAAATGCTAACTATTTAACTCTTATCAAAGATAAGGTCAAAGAAAATATTGCACTTATAATTGTTTGCCAGTCACATTGCTTCACAACTGATCATGATCTTTTCCACAGTCAACAGATGAGCATGAGACGGAGACAGGAATGAAGTCAAAGGAAGCCAGGAAGTACATCTTCAGCTGTTTGGATGACATAGCGCACGTACGTTCAAGCTGCTTGGACCACAATGTACTCAGCAGGACTTCAGAGGAAGTCACACATGGAATGTTTAGAGGCTATAGACTATTAAGCCAGAGGAAGTACACCTACAGCTGTTTGTACAGAACAGAGCACGCTTGTCTTATTTCTGGGAAAGAAAAGGTCACCTCTTAGCTTTACTTCCCTGCGTTTGAATGTTCAACCCAAATTCACAAAATGAAAGTTCAGGTTTCACTCACTATTCTTTGGTTAAACAGACCACAGGTGGAAATTCCCCAACACTGCGTGCTAGCTCAGGTCTGTACTTTTATCGGTCAGAAGAGGTTCTTGTGAATTTATGTTCATGAGTAACTCTTTGTCATGCTTGGGGGATGAACCAACTGATTCATCAGATACTGGTTGTACTGTCATTTTACAGTAGACTTTTCTTTGTTTCTCCTGATGGGTTTTAACATGATGAAGTTATTGTGACTGCTTGTTTTAACGGTAAATGTTTGTAATTCAGGTGAACTTGGTGATGAATCTGGAAGGTAGTGACATGCTAGTGGAGAAGGCTGACCGCAGAGAGTTTGTGGGCCTGCTGAAGAAGATGCTGTTGATTGATGCAGAAGAGAGGATCGCCCCCGCCGAAGCGCTCAGCCACCCGTTTGTGACAATGCAGCACCTGCTTGACTTTCCCCATAGCAACCAGTGAGTCCTTTTGGCCTCTGATTTTCAGACATGTTGTCACTTTGACCTCCCAACATAACTTGAACTCTCCCTGTCACTCCCCTGCCTGTAGTGTTAAGTCGTGTTTCCACATCATGGATGTTTGCTGGAGTCGTCCCAGTGCTTATGAGGCGGCCAACAGAAATAAAGGTCCTTTCGTCAGACCAGTGAACACAACCGCTGCTGCCTCTGTCAACCATCCATTCAGCAAGATCGCAGGTGTCCATGCTCAAGTAAGTCATTCAGAAGGTTTCTATTCTAATGTCAAACAAATTTATAAATCTACCATATACATTTACTCTCCTATCAGCTTACTGTGTTGTTCTGTAAATCTGCTCCTGCTAAGACTCATCAAGCAGACAATTTCCCCACATTTATTGCTTCCGTGTTTCTGTCCTATTACGTCTTGGCCCCGCTGTCATGGCAACAAAATAACGTCATGTGTCTGAGGTCATGGCAACAGTGCAAATCAGTGTTGTTGCCGAGGAAGAAAAGGAGCTGACCCTTTTTTTTTTTTAATGGATCTTTATAATCGAAACATCTCAAAGTCTATTCAGAAGCTGCCACTCGAGGATGAAATATGAAAAGATGATCTAATGAGATGTGTAAATTGTAGGACAACACAATGCATTTCATCAACACCGATATAAAGATAGTACGATTTAGGTAAAGGAATACCTTGCCACTTTTCTTAAGCAAGAAAACAACCACTAAGACATTTTATCCTTTTGTGCAGCAGTGTAGTACATGGTGAAATGTTCTCGTTTGAGAGACTTTTACAGAAAAATGTGGTGGCTTCTTTAGTATTATCCTGTGAAAGGCTGCTTTGTGTTGTTAACTATCATGTGTGTGGGGGCAGGGCAACATGCAGGAGCTGCTGTAGAACAATATAAGCCTAGTTCTCCTTATTCAATAAATGTGATTATAGCCTGGCACGAGAGCAGCGTGAGTGTTTGGAAGCAGAGGCACATGCTCGACTGTTCTTTGTTTATCTCAAGCCTATCGCAAAGACTCATTTCAACATTTTTCAACAAATTTAAATGGTTAGTGTTGATAAGTCTGCTCCCAACCCAGTATATGCCAGTCAGCTTTCAGCAAGATCCCATTCAAAGTGGACATGTCCTTTGCAGTATTTACACATCAAGAACGGCATAGCCAAGTGAAAGTATTGATTAAAACACAGTAAGTCATTGTGTTTGTCTTTGGGAGTACTTTTAGCTCTAATTCAAAAAGATGAGTAAGCGACTTGTTCTTGAATCATTTCTGATGTTAAACTCTTAAAAGACCTGCATTTTGTCAGGGTTATAACAGTGATCTATTAGAGAGGGACAGCCAGGGTTTTCCCTAGAATAAAATGACCAACCCACTGACCGTGACAGGCTCCTGAGTTCTGACTCGTCTTGGAAAACAGCCTTCACTTGACAGAGATGGCGCCATCTACTGGATCCCTACTGCTACTGTTGGTCATTTAAAAACCCCAGAAAAGTCTAGTCATTTCCCTTTTTCCTTTTGCTTTTGTTTTTTCAGGGGTTAGCTCCATCAGCCCCCTCAGTGATGCACCCTGGGATACCACTTCAGACTGGAAGTGGTCAGTTTGGATGCAGTGATTCATTTCAGCAAGCTCTCATTTTATGTCCTCCCACCCTTCAAGGTAGGACCTGTGAAGTGAAATATCTTTATTTATTTTGCTTCTTAACGGCTAGACTAAATACCTTACCGTCCAATATTTTCTTATCCTATCGTCTCTGCAGGAATCCCAACCAACACAGCGAAACCAGCTGGCTACTCTGTTCGCATGGAGGCCTCTGTGCCTCTGGTTACTCAAGCACCACCCATTCAGCCCTTACAAATACGACCTGGCGTCATAACACAGGTAAGATTGTAGAAACAGTGAGTAGTAAGTGAAGGTCATATATATTTTTCAATAGGTTTTCATGTATTTGTATGATGTGGATCTATTCAAACTGTAAGCAGATTGAAGAGCCATTGAGAGGACAACTGTCACGTGTAACTAATACGCTTCTCTTTAACAGGCCTGGTCTAACCGTGCACAGCAGATTTTGGTGCCCACTTGGCAGCAGGTGACATCAGTGCCCCCACCACCTACCACTTTGGCATCTGACACTGTGGCCGGCTCACAGAGATTGGGTGACTGGGGGTAAGAAATTATTTTGAGTGTCAGGACCAGAATTAGAATTAGAAATGTGTTTGTTGCCAGGTTTACACATACAAAGAATGTCTCTTCTTTTATTGGTGCAAAACAATATAGATATATAAAGTTAACAGCAAAACTCCTACTGTGAAAAACATCAAGAAAAACAACCTCAAAGACTAAAGAATCTTTTATAAAATAATGACAATGTACAGACCTCCCTCTTACTCGATGGTTAATCATTTATTGCCGTTCATCAACAGGTTATTGCTGAAAAGAAATGTTTACCTTGTAGATACTGTATTTGTGGATTTAAAATGAAAGAACATTTGGTGTTAATTGATGATATTCGAATAAAGGGTAATGATTGAACTGTAATATGTTTTTTCAACATATTTGTTCGTCATGCTGGGGGAGAATTGTTCCTGCATTTCTGTACTTTGCCAATCACATCCCCATAAATAGTATTATGTTAAATAATTTGTATTAGTGCTTCATTAGTTGCTTTGTTCACTCTTGGGAATGGCTGCACTGCTTCAAATCAGAATGGCTGCTCCCCTGAATGTTAATGATCGATGAGTCATACATGTCCTTTGCGACCGGTGACTGAGAGCGTTTCGTCAGTAATGGTGTTAAAGGCTTTTGGCTCAATTTGTGATGTTCTGTTTTCTTAATGCAGGAAAGTGCGTCCCCATGGTAACCATTACAGCTCCATGATTGCACATCCTCAGCCATTCTTAACCAACCAAATGACCATGTCCGCCCACCAGCCAATCAACATCGGCATCGCACATGTGGTGTGGCCACAGCCTGCTGCCAACAAGAGAGCCAAGCCTTGTGTTAACAGGTATGACACTTAGTTTTATTGCATCAAAATCTCTTATACATGAACAAATACATTGTTCTGTCATATTGAGAGAGACCTTCTTTCCTCAACAGGGGCAGCAACTTCTCCCAAAACACAAATATCCAAAATTTAGCATGCCAGTCCCCAAAGATGGCCGATACAGCAAAGAATGTCCAGGAGGTCGAGGAGGAAGCAGCCAGATGCCCAAAGGAGGGGCAGACTGCAGGAGAGGCGCAAAGAACAGAGCAGCCGGATGAAAACTGCTGTAAAGTGGCTCCAGCGTGTGAGGAGATTTCAGTTTCACAGGAGCAGCGTCAGGCCATGGTGATCTCTGACTTAGCAGCCCAACTGTGAGTGTCATCAGTATCAGCAGCGATGAAGAGGAAGGAACCCAGAGACACTCGATGGGGGAGTGAGTACTGACCATGAGGTTTCCTCTTAGAATCTCCTTAATGTCTCTTCAAATGTCTTATTTTTTTATATCTCTGTGCAATAAGGTGTAAGGGAAGTGCAGACTGTGAGGCGTGTCAGAGCACAGTCAGCATGGAGAGAGTCTGTTCCCTCAGCAGTCCAGACAGCACGTTAAGCACCAGCTCCTCAGCCTCGGCCCAGTCCAGCACCTCACCCTGCAAACACCCCAACAGGTACGGATAATACAACAAAACCTCTACAAAAGTTTCCCTTGATCTACATAAGTGGCCACTCTGCAGCAAATGTAACTTCCTTCCTCATTTGTTTCCCTCATGCAGTATGTCGGACGACGAACAGGAGAGCGGTTGTGACACAGTGGACAGCTCGCCTGCCTCAGACGCCTCTGGCCCTAGCAACAGTCCCTTCACAGAGAGGCGCTTCATCGCTGACACCAACCAGAACTGCGAGCCCCGTGTGGCGTGCGTTGCCCCGGAGACGGAGCCCAGCAAGCCAACAGTTCGTACTGTTGTGGTGCCTCCAATGAGGGTGCAGAACAGCAACAACAACAACCCTACTGTCGGGGAAATGCCTGGTAACTCAGGTAAGACTAGACAATGAATACAGTGCTATCAGAAATACATTTAGTATGTCTCACTTGGAGTTGGACCTAATAATATGATTTCAGGTGTCTAGCATCCTGACTGAAACTTGTGACAAGCAGAGTAGTTAACCCGGATTCTCTCTAATCGAGATTATCAAATGACTAAAACTGGTCTCTTACATACTCAGTTTCTATTTACTATTTACAGTTTCTTTACTGGTCTTATCCCCGCTGAAGACCTGCTGAGTAGGTCATGTTAGCTCAAAGTCCAGTCACCACTGCTGCTGTCTGCTCCACAGGTCACATTGCCTGGGATTATGCTGTCTTTGTAGGCCACAGAGGTTCTCACAGGTGATTATGGGTGACCTGAAGTGTCTGCTCTGCTCTCTGGAGTGGATATTTGTTTGCTGTCAACACTCCTCACTCTGACTCTGAGAGCCCCTTGTCTCTGCGTGCATTTCTTCAGGCTCCATATGCATGCGTAATTGCACCCAAACGTTTAATATCCTGACTAAAATATTCAACAAGACAAAAACCAGCCAGGGAGCCTCAACACATTCGCTGGCTGTCATTACCAGATAAAAGTCTGATGAATGTTTCTTTCAGGTGTTAAAGGGGGCTTACACATGTTATATGCAGGTTTTATAACAGCTGTGGTCAGCTGGACACGTTTTCTCTTTCAGCAACAGAATTCATATTAGAGCTATGTTTTTTAAAGGTCTTTTAAACTCTAAATCCACAAAGTGAAATAGCCTCTAATGTTAATGGCATCATCCTCCCCAACCCTCAAACTATTGCAACTTAAGCCCAACATAAAAGGGCACAGCTTGCTATTCTGGTGCTACCAGTTGTAAAAATAGCTGATGGTCTGACCCCACTATAAGATCCACAAACAAGCTTAGTTACAAACTCCTCCCAGATACCCCAAACACATCTATTTATAATCCCCTAGATCATATTCACAGGGCAGATGCCACAAGGTTTAAAGGTTTTGGACTGATCAAATACAGCTTAGAGCCCTGATAAGTCTACAGAACGTCCTGCCACTAAAGTTGATGTTTCTTTGGTTGAAATCAACTCTGTTGTTCCATCTCCTTTTGCCTCTTCTAGAAAGTTGTGATACTGATAATGAAACACAGAATTGTGTGTTGTAACTTCTTTCACCTCAATCTTTGCCTCTGTTTCTCCATCTTTTCATGGCCTCCTTCTTCAGTGTTAGAGTATGCGTGCCATACCAGAGGGCGAGGCATCCCTGGGCGACAACACCACCTCTCCACTCCCCTCCTCAACAGGCCGCAGAAGATCCCACCTGCATTCCAGCCCCAGCAGCAGCAGCCAATGGGCTTTGGGCAGGTGAGAACATGCAGTCACATACGTGTATTATACTATATGTCACAAACACATGTAAACAAATGACATAGGAAGAACTTTTTGGACAGCATTTTTAAAGCTTGTTGTCGATAAGTGTTGTTAATACCAGAGAGACTTTGTGATGATTAAGAATTTAAAATGGCTGACTCAATTTTATTTTTAGAAAATAAAAACAACGTACAACATTGGCTCATTCACTAGCAGGACACATTTTGTTCTAATGTAAATAATTTGCTGTGGTCCAGTGTTGGAGGTCCTGTTTGTTTTCAATTGTCCTGTTAAGTCAGTACTTCCCGTATTGGTCCTTTTTCTTTCATGTGTATGAACAAAGACTTCGGAAAGTTGTACCTGAGAGTCACATTGTTGACTGATCTGGTTGTGGCTACACAAAATCCCACTTTGGAATTGCAAGTATTTCCTTTCCATAGTGGAGCAGCAGCTTGTGCACACTTCACACAGTAAATGGAACTTAACTTCCTGCCACAGTAGCTCTCTTTGCTGACACATTTTTCTGGTTCTTATTAACTTGCAGTAGATGAACATTCAAACTGTGTTAAGGCATTTTACTTTGATACTGCTTACTTAAAGCCCCAGTGATGAGTTTTTAGCTGGTTATGAAACGGACTGAGATTGATAATGATGATTCTCTATGACCTAAAAAAGCAAACCAGACAATCAGGAAGAAGATTGAGTATTTCTATTTAGTAATTCTTAATAGCCTAAGCAGCAAGATGGGAGATTTTTCCAGACTGTTTATGCATGTACAGCTACAAGACCAGCTAAGAGATAAGAGAAACGGCTTTGTCCACATAGATAGCCACGATCGACATACTGAAAGTTCCTGACAGGTGCTTCAATGCCCTCCCAGTCAGAGAAAGAAAAACACAATTGTGTAATGTTATGCACACAAATTAAGATGAATGAAAAGAGACCTAAAAACTTCTTGTGAAGAGGGGGGGAAGGGGATCAACCCCCTGGTACCTTTAGATAAACTCAAAGGGTGTGGCAGTAAAGAGTAGCATTCAATGAATTTATTGTTTTTCTGACAAAAACTGAGATGAAACAATGTTCATGTTTTATTTACGGAACTATAGAACGAAAAAAACACTTTAAAAAACACACATCTCTTTAGAAAGCACATTAAGTAAATAAATAAATGAATACATAAATTAATATTTGACAGACAAAAGCAGCTCGTGTATGTAGCCCTTTCAACATTTAATGCAGAAACTTCTCTTTCTTTTTTTAATGTTAACCTGTGACAGCTTCTGTCATTTTTTCCCCATTGTCGATAACTACAAAAGATGTTCTTTCGAAAAGTGCTACTAAGCAGCTCTGCATATATCTGCTTCGCGCATGTGCAGAGCCACAATCCTGGGTTCTTGTCATTACAGCAATACCTTAACGTTCGTATAAATGAATTACAAAGAGAAAAGAGAATTAAAAACATGCTTCCATCTTCCTTGGAGTGCAAATGGAGAGGGGTAGTTGTGTAATTTGAAGTGACTCTGTACAGGCAGCATAATGTGACAGGAAGTATTGAAGCCTTGACTTTCAGTTTGTGCTATGATAGCATCTTGGGACAAAGCAGGACAACTCGGTTCATCAGCCGGTCTTCTTCAGTAAGCATTCATTCCTCTGTAACCTTAAAACTCCCGCCCTATGAGCACCAGTGTGAGTCTCGTACATCGGCCTACTTTGTAGCACGTAGGAAAGCATTTACCTCTCGTCAATAAAATAGGCAACGATGTCACCGATTGCAGGTCAGTGCAACTCTCTCTGCTGACTGGAGTTCATCCTCCATCTATCCTCTCATCGCAGCATAAAGAGCTGGAATAGCCTTTCTTTCTAGCCTCTTTTGGATTCAAAAGCTGCAAGCTCTTCTCTTTACTTTTTTTCACTGCAGTTTGTCTCTAGCCCGCTGTCTTCTTGTTTAATTCCGCTGTCCACTTCTTCCTCGGCTGATTAAATCCCACTCAGGTTACCCTCAATCATGTTTTAAGTTCCACTACGAGGAGTCATGAAGTATTGATGGGATTCGAATTGGCAATCGGGCAATCTGTTAAGAGCACCACATTTCTTAAATTAAAATATCAATATCAGGGGCCAGTGTATCAATGAATGGATCACACAAGTCAGGAGAACGATATATTGCCTGAACAATATTTTGTCCAACCCCTAGAGTTGATTCTAATGATATTTTTCCCATCTCATTCAGGTGCAGCATTTCGGTTCCTGCCATCAGGAATGGAACGGCAACTTCGCCCACCGGAGACCACAGGCCTATATCCCTCCCACCATGCATGGCCACACATTCGCCCTGTCCCACAGCAGCCCAAACCACAACACAGGCCCCCACCCTCACCTTGGGGGCCACCCGCATTCACAGCCCACCTTACTGTCCTACCCCCCGTCTGGTCCCCTGGTCACGGCAGCACCCGTGGCCCACCTCCTGGCTTCCCCCGTCGCCTCCCGCCCCGTCCTCCAGCCCACCTACAGCATCTCCCACCCGGCAGGCATTGTGCATCAGGTCACAGTGGGCATCAACCCCCGGCTGCTGCCTTCGCCCACCCTGCACCCCCAGGGCCAATTCAAGCCCCTCTTTCCCCCGCACTCCTACATCGCCTCGCCTGCCTACGCCAGTTTCCCTCTCAGCCCCACCAAAATAAACCAGTACCCTTACATCTGAGCAAGACTGCCCAAGCTCCCTTCAAACCACCTGAGGGCTAAGCGAGCAGGGCGAATTCTGTCTAAAACCACAAACAACATGGTTTTCATTTCCAAAACCATGGCACAACCACAGAGAAAGCAAGCTATTTTTTGAATCATGTAGACTTGGGTGTAATTGAACTTCAAGCTTTAAAAAATCAAAAAAAAGTTCCAATGGTGGAGATGATTTGGGTAAAAATTAAGAAGGAAAAAGTGTATGAGTGATTGAATGAAAGAATGAATGAGTAGTTAAACTCACACTTAATGTGTTTTGCACATTTGATATATCTTTGCATTGGATCTTCTACGAATACTCCTCAAAACAGGTAAATAATTGGGGTGGTGTTGAATAGTTAGACTTTGCACCCCTTGGTCCCAGCTATTTTTCTATATTGCCTTCTTACGTGTGCAAGACACATCCATATTTGTAAAGCCATCCCAGTCTCTAGCTCTAGATTGACAGATGCACACGTTGTCCACAGTGTATGTTGTACTGCGTTTGAAGTATTTGTACCTTTTCGGTGTCTTTTGGTGTTAGCAATGTCAAGTCAATTAACCGATCTAAATAGGGTTGTTCCTCACGCTGCATGTGGTCTTGCATGAGCAAAAAAATGTAAAACGGAAAGATGCATAGACGTTGCTCTTGTTGTTCGTGTCACAAGACTCGCTGCATTGTATTACTGTCCCCAGCCATAGTGCCTTACATATTTGAGGTTGTTAATGTTACTACTTATATATGACTATATACATGAATATTAATGTACTGGACTGCAGCACTTGAAATTCCAATCAGTTGATGCATCCTATGTGTGAGTATATATATGCACATGTGTATATGTCCATGCATAGCCTGCATTGATGTGATGTACCGCAAATAGCGGTGCTTATATTTTGGAGTTGGTGTAAATTTCAGTGTGTAGTGAGTTACTTTTCTGTTCTTTTAAAGAACAGCATGCTTTGCTGTTGCGAATGCTTACTGTTTCATGAAATACGTTTTGTTTTTTTCTGTTCTCCCCTTCCCCCGAATGACTAGTGTACAAAGTGCAAGTACTGAGTATTGCTTAATATTTGATAATCACTTTCTATTTAGTGAAACTCTTATTACAAACAGCATTTTGACTGTTTGACAAAACTGCAATACAATCTAAATAGTCGTTGATTCTTCTTTTCTTTTCTCGTCTTCGTATTTTTCATTTTTCTTTTTGAGTGTTTTCACTTTGTTTCTTAGATGTTTAGAAGTGTGGTGGGCATGGCTTTGAATAGGTAAGGAAACATTGCAAATTAATTCACGGTATGGAATTTTCTTAGCCTGAGCAAACCATGCAGTATTTGATATACACACATATATGGACATATATTATAGAGCTAGACTATTTAGTACAGATGCTTGATAAGGTGTGAGTTAATTGTGTGCAATTCTCTCATTTATGCATGTGTGACAAAGTTAACTTTTCCCTTTACATTATACCATTTGTTAAAGGCTTAAGGCTTAGCGCTGTCGACTGCTTATTTTATACATTCCGTCAGGGAGGATATATACATATATATACATTTTATATATATATATATATATATATGATGGTAGCACCAGTCTCTCTCTCTCTATATATATATATATATATACTTATACATATATATGTAGATATGTTGTGTGTGTGCATTTTTTTGTTCATTTACTAGTTACGTGTGTAATTTTTTTCGTCTTTTATTTTCAAATGAAGTTGCTTGTGCAGCACCAAAGACTGTAATTCATTTCCTGAGCAAGGTAGCTATTCTGTTTGCATAGACCTCAGTTATACTGTAGTCATAGAATGGGGTTGAATTAAAACAATTCAAAAAAAAAAAAAAAGTATTTAAAAGAAGAAAAAAAAAAACAGCCGAGGTTTTGTCTAGCTTATTGGGCAATTAATAAGTCGTATCATTTCTTCTTGAATGTATCATAGATAAGCTGCTATATGATGATTGCCACTTCAATAGCTGTGAAATTAGGTGATTTCTCTGAGTTCAAACCTAGCGTTGCTATTTTTGTATAGGTCCCTAATTATCTGAAATAGAAGTGGTTTTAATTTGTGTTTTTGCGTTCATATTTGGAGTGTCATTGTAACTACTGTATTGCTGATGATGAACATTAGTTGCATTTGTGTTTTCTCGGGGTGTGTTTTTTTGCATCAGTATTTTATCCTTATTAACCTTTCGGGCTCATCACTGCATATAAATGATGTATCGATGTAACTTAATTTTTGTATGTTTTCATATGGACGTTTTGTACACATCTAAAGCTGTAGCTTGCAGGATGATTTAACTTTTTCATTGTGCGCAAACGGTAAAATAGCAGTACTCTATTACGTGTGTTGCAGGAGCACTGTGAGATGCCAGGAGAAAAAAAAAAATCCATTGCGTTGATTGGAGAGCGTCTGTAATGTTTCCACCAATCACACACAAACACGCTCAGCACTAAGCTCTCATACAGGTAGTGAGGCTTGTAAAGGGTTCAGCTGATTACAGCCTGTGTGTCCAAAAAGAAAAGAAGCCCAATGTTTCTGTTCCAAGGTAATGTTTTCAAAAGTTGTTTTCACTTTCAATTGATTTTAATTTGAAATACATTTATTGCAGCCTTTTTACCTGTTCAATGTTATATCTGGCTGGAATATCCGTTTCACAGTTTGATATTCTGAACTGCCTTGTGTTCGGATCGCTCTCCCCTTTATGAGTGTCTCATATCAAAATGTTTTGTCAGTGCAAAAGTGTGGCCATTGTTATGTGTTCCTTACTGAAATTGAGACAGTGTGAGCAGCACTGTGTATGTGCCTTGAGATTCAGAAAGTTAGAATTCATGATGGTGATACCTCTCCGCTAATTCATGGAGGAAGTCACAGAATCCAGTAAAGCAGATAGCCTAACAGCCACCAAACAGGAATACTACAAAAGGACGTCATGTTCTCCCTTCTGTGATGACAAACCAATAATACATTAGATACGCTTTGAATGATATGACACTTGACGATCTCTAGATAGTCTCTCTGGCTGAACAGCAGATGCAATACTTAACATTGTGCGGTCATTGCACCACCAAGTGTTCTTAGATCATCTCCATGCTTTTGCATTACCTTGCATGCACACCTAAGTTGCTTCACTGTGTCTTGCCTGGAAGCTGTCTTCTCAGAGCAGCTTTTTCATCGTGCAAGTTAAGAATTAGCGGGGGCAGTCAGAGCACAGATGACGCTGGCCTTTTAAAATCCAAAGAGCCGTGCTTTGAATCCAGGAGATAGTCTGTGTGGACGTTACTTCTGTGCTCTGGATGTGAACCGCTCCGTCAAGGAGATTATTGTGGTCGGTCATGGGTGCAATACTCCACATTTAAACACTGACATGGATATGGCTGTGTTTTCTAAAAAGCTTTTTTTTTTATCTTCTTCTTACCTGTATGCTTTTACTGCTAATACTCGAGCATCATTTTGGTAAAGGAAGCTTATGATAACAAGGCATGCACTTGGCAGATTAGTGCTTGAAACAGTTCCCCCACTAATAAGCATGTGAAGTGTAATTCTGTGTTTTGATTCCTCCAAAGGTATTCACCAGCAATGCGCCTGCATAAACTCTCCTATACATGTTAGGAAAAGAATGGATGCAAGAGGAGAGAAATCTTAAAAACTGTTTTTAATTTTCCACATGATTGACTTTTTTTGGTTTATGGATTTTTTCTTTATTTGATTTATTTTGATTTGAGGGTTCATGTAACATTTAACAGATAAATCATTGGTTTGTAAACGTTCTTTTAAAGTGAAGGCTTTGATATCGGAGAGAAAAACAAATCCTCTGCTAAGGTATTATCCTTTAGAGATGTTAATTCAGGGTCTGTATTAGTCTAAACCTTCTAATGTGTTGCTCTTTGATTTGATGAGGTTTGTTCTACTCAAGCTCTTATTTTCTGGTCGTCTGTATCAATTTCAGAGTTAATTCACACTGCAAGTTATGGAATCACCTGTTTCGATTGCTCATCAAATGGACTTGATCATGAAATCTGAACTGTTACTGTTTTAATACCTGTAGATTTTTCGTGGCTTTGTTTTCTTCCGTTTGTTCGTTTTCTGTTTTATTTGCTTTTTTATTTCGTGCTACACTAGTTTGCCATGTAGCAATTGCACTGTGCAATATTTACAGTATGAGGACTGGGAAAACTAACTCTATGGATGTGATGTCTATTTACAGTTTGCGATAGTGTTTCCTCTCTAGTTCTCAGTGATTTAGGTGTGACCAAGCCTTCTCTACTTTGTCACATTAAGCGGGTTTTCCAGGTGACTCTTTTGGTGAGTGTCAAAATAAGACTTTATGGTGTATTATTGTTAAGATTCACTTTGAATTAAAAAAAATCTATTGGAGCGGCTTGTTTTTGTCTTTGTCTGTTTTTTATTTTCAGTTGCATCTTGTGCATTTAACACAGGATATTATCACATTTATCAAACTAAAGGTCTAACAGCTTATACTACATTCATTTACAGGTGATAATCCATAGGTTTTAAAAGACAAAATAAGATGAGGTCATCTACAGCAGATGGAATATTTATTATTAACAAATCTTTAGTTTATAAAATAAACTAAATAAAATTCTGCAAAATAAAAATGTATACGCATTACTATCTCGCACAGCCGAAAGCTACATCCTCACATTCCTACTTATGTGTGGCCAAATTTTAAATGATACCCAGCAGAGGTCACCTTGTCTGACAAGAGGGAATCAGATCATTCATGGTGATTTTGATTGATAGAAATATTTAAAGGTACCAGTTTTGATATATTTCTGTGTATGATCTTTGTCACAGTCAAATGAGGGAGTCATTGACCAGGAGTTTGTGCCGCAATGGTCAACAAGAACAATTTCATAAAAATATGGTGTTTAGACATTGGCACAATAGCATTAGCTGATTAAGATCAGATAATATTATATAAAGCTCTGGATCGGCTACTAAAATGGGCTTGAATAAAAGACAGGTGGACATAAAACACAAATAAACAAATGCATAGTTTCCTCACGATAAGCTATATTGTGAATTATTGAAATATGATGTTTTTTACTTTATCGATTTGTGTCAGAAAACAAAAAAAAAATGGGGGGGAAAGCAAAATCATTTTGACATGTTCCATTTGGTTTTCCAGCCTGGTATTTGTTTTCTGAGTCTATAATGACATCTTGCGGCAGAAAGGGGGTACTGCAGCCGACCTGGTAGTATGTGCTCGATTAGGTATTCAGGTAGCCTCTAAGAGTAGCTTAGATTGTTGCTTGTATAACTAGGCTATATTTCGGACCAACAATTAAAAAAACACCCATTTACTAATTATTAAACCGTAGGCCTATTGGTTATTAAGACTTGAATTGACTACAGCCTGCCTGCTCTCATTTGTCCAGCAGAGGTCGTCATACAGACAGCTGGCTGTGACTTTCAATTAATAGCAGAGAGACTAATTTGCACAGTTTGACTCGGGGTACTTAAAATGATCGACCCTCTCCAGCTTCCAAATCCTTCACATTTGACTGGAACATCTAGCACCGTGCCTGGCAGGTCTCTGTGATCCAGTCTATCATCTAGAGCTCGATGTCAAACCTTTGGCAGACTGTGCTCTGCGCCGCCCTGCGCCACACCGCGATGATGATGCTGGGTGGACCGAGCGCCGCGGAGCGATAGGGCGCATTTCTTAATTCCCCCTCCAACACCGCGTCCACCCCCTCCCCACTATACCACCAAACCCTGCAAACACCCCTCCAGCCCTGGACAACACGACGAGACCGCGGGACCGCACGAGGATCGATCAAATGTATTATTTACGGCCGAAACTTCAGCAACTTATCCACTGGATATGGCTCCCGCTGTGAGGAGTGGACGGCGGACAGGTCACCCCAAAGTGTCGGCCGTGGTGGTGGTGGGAGCCGGAGGAGAGGACCCCGGTGGGCGCTCGGATGCCGGAGGAGAGGGGAGGTGTTTGAGGACCAGGTGGCGAACCGGAGCAGCGGGGATGCTTGGAAACTGTGTGCTGTCTGTGGGAATGCTTTTACTTGTTGTCCGGTACGGTGTGGCCGCAGAGGGTAAGCAGCACACCGCAGAGAAAACATATGATATGTGTTGCATTTGTCGAGACTAATCTGCGAGGAATATCCGCTGAGAAGAGTTGGAAGAAATGATGGGGGGGGGGGGGAATCTTTTGTTTGGCACATGCAGCGTTTTGTAATCCGCACATTTATTGCATATATGCATGATACATAGACTGTATGCACCGAGCTGTGCTTGGCTTAATGCCTTTGCTTTGTCATTCTTTAGGATAGGAAATACTTAGATGTTTCCTTTAAAGGCATCTATAAGGTGTTTGCATGCAGCAGGCTGTTTTGCATTGCAGTCAGGGAATACCCAAACTGTACAGGCTGCCTATTATTAGGATGAATGCCCTCACTGGCTGCACGGACATGATCTGTTGTTGGACAGACCGTGTTGATGTTGGTCTGCGCCGGCTAACCTTTATGTGATGTATCACTCTTCCCCCCCCCCAAAGGAATGTTTCCACCTGAGACCAAAAACCTGTCTACTCTTTTGTCTCTGATCAGACCGAGATCCCCTGCAGCTTAACTCCTTATGAGCCATTTCAGCCTTAACTTTGTGTCTAAATTCTCCATTGTCCTACATTGTGCACTTGAATAGTGTTTGCATTTTCATGACTGAGCTTATTATTGGTCTCTGGGAGTTTTTCTGAGAGTGCATCGGAGGCACAGGACAGTCAAAGCATCTGGGTCAGCACTAATGACACACATACTGTAAGCCCTGCTCTGTGGGGTTTGTCTGTCTCTGGCGGCTAAGAGGCAGCTGAGGTAAGGTGGACAGAAAATAGCTGCCTCTTTATATTGAAGAAAAGGCTCGACTACCCTGCCTGTACAGGTTCACTGATTTGGCTGCATCGCCTTTCTTCTCTTTACAACACCTCAGTCTGCCTAATTTTTCGGGTCCTTTGGCATGACCCCTAAAAAAAAAAAAAAACACATTCTTTGAAGGTGTTGTGTGTGTTTCCAACAGTAGGTCTGTCACTTCTTCTCAGTGTGCAAACAGTGATGTAGTGGCTGTAGTCTCACCTCTGCTGATGCACTGCTACAGTAGCAGTCTCCTCCTCCCTCTCCTCCCTCCCTCTCCTCTCCCCTCCTCGTCCTCCTCCTCCTCACAGTCAGCACATCCATTCTTAAACACATGAGCCCAGCAGAAGCAAGAGCACCTGAGCCATTCAGGACATATTGGCTGAAGAGTGCACACCAGTGATTTATCTTTGTAAGGAAACAAGTAGGCTAATCATCTTTGTAAGGAAACAATTCACTTCAACTACAGACTTGTGTGTAGATATAAAGCAATGGATGCTGGATTCTGTAGTCTTTGTCACAACGACTGGGTGTTTACAGTAGTCTAAAGAGAACCTTTAAATAGTTTATATTTTTTATTTTAAAATTGTCATGTATTTCAGTTCTTGAGGAAGCAAAGAGGGTCTGGGCTGTATTGATTCATTGATTTTTTTTTGTGCAAGCATGTGGAATTTAAGACAGCAACAACATCCACATGTCACATGACCTAAAGAACCTTCAAGAAGAAAAAAAACATTTCAGAAGATTACATATCCATATCAGAATTGGCCATGAAACCTGTTTTATATGCCATGCATTTTCTTTAATCTCACCTTAATACACAACTGATTATTGAAAAGCCCACTAAGCATGTTACCAATAGAATACACACACACACACACACACACACACACACACACACACACACACACACACACACACGGTAAGGCAGTTGTTAACACAGGGACATCCATAATTAATTAACGGATCAGTATTCACCTTTGATATTTTACCTAATGTCTGAGCTTTTACTTATTCCTGATTCCCTCCCTTCATATGACCTCATCCATCTGAACCTGTATACATTATGCAGTTATTTAGGGATCCATATATCAGATGTGTTGGATAAGTATTGTTGGCGATACCAACATCATCCCGTATTGTCCTGGATGTGACTGAACTATAAATGTCTTTGTGAATGCCGTCATAAAAATCTGTGTTTCCTCCATCTGTTACTGAAGGCTGGCCAGCCCGGGAGTTTTTAGTGCCACAGTAATGCCCTGTCTCATATTGCTCTGAATATTAAAGAGCTCAGATGAGTCCTGTTCAGAGACATATTTCCCCCCTATTTTCTACTGTAAGAGAAAAGGAGCAGTTTGATATCCAGTATTGGCAGATAGGTTAAGAAAAACATGTCCTTGTCTCAGGGGTTTGCACAGACATTTCTTTTTTGTTTGTACTTTATTTTTCCAAAAGGGAAACACCAATGTGACAAAACAAAAAGACATATGTAAAGCATACACACACAATGCACAGACATTTTTGAGAGCAGGGGCTTAGGCCAAGAGGGGGCATTCACCCCAATACCACAAATTGTGCACCCTGATGTTGCTACACAGAGGTTTTCAATGACACAGGATTCACAACATGCTTTGCAGAATCACTTGTTTAACAGGCCTATTAATTGTTCACACCAATATATTTTTGTTTCTTCTAGATTTATTTGCGTTGGTGTATCACCCAATAAGAAGACACCTTATTGCAGGAATGACAAATGTTGAATGGTTTTTAAACATCAGATATCGATAACTGGCCTCAGAAATCCAGTACCGCTGAGGCTCTGCTGCTGTGTTTTTGTGAGATTTACTGAATGAAAAACATCTTCACCTGCTGTGAGCGGCTAATATCCTGACTCACAGATTCCCCATGTGTGGACTCAGTACAACATGTGGTTTCTATGGAAACAGCAATTTTGTTGCCCTGCAATGACCATTTCCCCCTTTAACCCCGGTATCAGTCAGTGGTGTAGAGGACAGTAAGCATCGATCATTCTGAGGGTTGTGGCTGCAACGACAAATATGTTTTATGCAGTTAGATTTATCTTCTATTAACTCTCTGGAGCTGTTGTCTGGTTTATTTCTTTCTTTCTAGCACGGCTGGTGAAATCAATGCTCGACAACAGCTCGAGGATACGCAGCAGAGCAAAGGCATCTTTGGTCTTTTCACGTTCAAGAAGACTGTCCTCTTACGTCAGCTTTGTTTACTCGTACAATTACAACCCCCCGCCCCTTTGCTTATGAGTGCTGACGGCTCGGTTTTGACAGGGGTTAACCTCAAGGACCTCCTGCTGTATGAGATGCTATCCTTGAGCTACTGCAAGTCATCAGTTTCCACTTAGGAATTCATGGAGAGAAGACATGACAGTACAATTCAAAGACGTTTCCTATTTGTGAAGCAGTCTGAGTCTTTTTCCCTCTAAAATGACTGTGAACATGCACATCACAGAAGTCTCTTTGGTTTGTCTTCTTGTGTCTTGTGTCTTCAGTTTTCATTTTCTCTCTGTCCAGATAAGCCTTTTCATGGTTGTCACGATGTTTAACATTAAAATAACTTCCAGGAATAGCCTCTAAAAAACAGCAGCCATGACTCAGCCATGGTCTGATAACCCATCTGTGTGAGCACTCAGTTTTCAGGAGCATGCAGCTAATTTGAATTCTCTGTTTATTTACCTTGTTTCACCTTGTTGCAGCGATTTGTGTGAACCTGTTAATTATGTTACGGGAAACCATGTCAGGAGAGCTTTAAATGTACACAGCCTGTGTTTGTGTTGTGTGCGTGTGCGTGTGCGTGCGTGCGTGTGTGTAGGGGAGGGTGGTATTTGTTTGAGTGAAGATAGATGATAATCTCTAGTTACAGATTTCCCTTCAAATGTAGAATCAGTATTCAGGATCTTGATATTCAGTATGAGAAGTAGTCTAGTTTCTGCTTGTGATAAGTTTGTATTGTGTGTGTCAGAAGGCTTTGATGTATACAAGAAAAACAGAATGTGTAGAGAGCAAAAGGAGACAGAATATAGTGCTGCATGGATGACCTTTGGAGGCCAAGTCGTTGTTAGCATCTTGCCGGTTCCATCGATAAATGGAAAATAAGCTCGGTGGCCAAAACGTTTATGACACTTACACATTTTGTTCATCAAAAGTCTCCTCTATGCTGATGACTTGGTGTTGTTGTCTCCTACAAAAGAGGGTCTACAGCAGCACCCGAACCTCCTCCATCAGTTCAGTCAGACCTGGGCCCTGATGTTAAACCTAGAGAAAACCAGGATCATGATTTTCCAGAAGCAGGCCAGGAGCCTGGAAAACATTTATCAATTTTATTTGGGCACCTCTAAATTACAACACACAAAAAATTACACATGTCTAGGCCTGAAGATCAGCTCCACAGGAAGCTTCACCCTGGCTGTGAAAGATCTGAGAGACAAAGTAAGAAAGGCTTTCTATGCAATCAGAATAAATATCAAATTTGACATCCCAATTAAAATCTGGCTCAAAATTTTCCAAATTGTGCTAGAACCAATTATTCTGTATATGGCAGCGAAATCTGGGGACCAAGGATTTTGACAAATGGTGTCAAGTGTAACTTACTATTTAAAGTTAGACTCACAAAAAACAGATAAACGGTGCTCCTCCAGGAGATTTAATGAATCAAGAAATGACTGTATTTATTTTGTAGACATATCTAGAGGGGCGTATGGAAAAGAAAGTCTTGGCTGGAAGTCATATGCTAACCACTTTCTGGTAGTTGGCCATTGTTCCCAGAGACATACGTCTATATCATCATCAGAATATCGTCGGTTGTTCCTTTGGTGGTCATCATTTATCGTTGTGAACAGACAGATATCCAACATAGGATCAACACTGAGATATTTTTTTTTGTCCCACTCACAGTTCTTCCATCTTTTTTTATTTGCATGTTTTGTCGATATTTTGACAAAGGAGATTGTGTGACTCCTGCTCAATCTTTTGCAGGAACTCAAATGCAAGGAAGGAAAGTAAGAGTGCAGAAACAGCGTTATCAAGTGATTGAAAATATAATCGCGTGCAGTACTTGATTAGAACGTTGATTACCTTATCTTTGCTATCTGTTTTTTGGGGATCTGTTTGTGTCAGATCTTTGCAGAACTGGAAAGGTTTGCAGTATTTTCTCCTCCA